TATTGGTGTAAGCAGTATATAAAAAATTGCTTAATAAAGTACACTTTTTCAATGATTATTAAAAAAATGGTTCGCAAAGTAAAAATTATCGGATTTTTTGAGGTTATTTTACGGATTTACGTTTAAAAAAAAAATAAAAAATCAGGTTTTAATTTCCTTTTGTTTTCTGGGTTCCCAATTGTCGCACCTTGAAGCTTTTATCCATTCTTCCTTTCGTTGTGATCTACAGGAAATCTGTAAAATATTTTTAAATTAATAGGAAAATGAAAAAAGATAAATATATATGTATATACATATAAGTATATATATATATATATATACTTATACGTATTTAATATGCATGTATTTATGTATGTATACATACATATAATGTTTTAAGTAAATTTGTCTACTAATATGTATTCTAAAAACGGATCGGTAAAGTAATAATGAAGTACGTTATGCCACATCACTATAACTAAAAACAAAATTATTTTCTCAAATTGATAAGAATTTAGAGATCGGTTAGATTATATACTATTCTGATATTATAAGTCTTAAAAAAATCACTTATTTGAATATTTTATAAAAATGTTAAGTATTTTAACAGAAAAATTCCAAAAAACACTTACCGGTGAAATGTTACATTTTAATTATTTTCACTTTTCATTGAATTAGGGCTGTTACAGCCGTAAGCCATACAAGCCATCGGAATAAAATGTTTTTAAGTTTTCTTAAAACAAAGTCTGTTACATCCAATTACTCTTTTAACATTAAAATAATCACAAATGTCATAAACACAGTATGTCACCAGCTGGTCACCATAACAAATAAAAAGTGGCTTCACGTTGTGAAAGACGATAGTTTCTTTATTATTACGTCTGTCTTTAACTTACGTCATCTCTTAGTAAGATAAAGCAGTGAAAACTATAAGTTTATTGGCTCAGTTTAATACGAGTCCTCCATGCTTGTTATTGCTCGAAGGTTTAAACTAATTCTTATATTTAGTTTTATTCGGGTTCATTATTCTATTTTAATCATCTCAAGTTAATTTCAAAGAGTTTCTAAGTTGAGTTTTCGTTTAAAGTACCACAAGGCATTGTGGTACTTTCAAACGAAGTTTCTAGACTTATAGTGAAGTCTTTGATATGAAAGCTTAAGCATCTGCGGCAGCATAGTTATGTCTTCGGAACAAGATGCAGCTACCTATAGTCTGTTTTTTAATCTCAGAGACAAAACTGACATTACGTGGGTTGTCAGTTTTTTGCAATTCATAATTAGTGATATGCCACTATCGAAAATTATATATATAGCTTAAAATATTCGCAACCAAAACATAAATGAAATCTTTCGCTATGCAATCTGATAAAGATATCGTTTTAAAGACATATTATACTTTAATAAAACATCACAAAACAGGAATGATAGGGGTAGGCCGTATGGATATGAAATTAAAAAACCCTGCGCAATACTTTAACGGGATGTAGAATTTGAAAGTATCCCATCAAAGTACCTGCAGTTTCAATTTATTAGATATATACTTTAATATCCATATAGTGTTACACAGAAGTTCTTAAAGAGAATTGATTCCACTGAAAGCTCAGTTAAGTTGTATAATTATATTAATCGGTACATTTATGGCGAACCATTACTATCTAACGAATATTACTTATAATTAGATATTGACACAATAATTGAAAAACCACAAAAATTGTATCATATCCATATAAAAAAGAAAACGTAAACATAATTATAAACTCATTTTAATAAAATTGTTTTCTACGATCTACATATAAACATACAGCAGAAGTACCTATAATTATTTACGAATAATTTGTATAGCACTAACTTACAACACAAATTGAGTCATTTGATAAAGTAGAGTAGAATTTGATTAAATTTTAACCTATCAAGTGAGACAATAAAGAGAACCTGTAACTTTAACTTCTTCCTTCCACCATCACGGTAACCGTTTTCCGTATAAAGATAACATTTTCATTCGAGATTTACTTCTTTACTGTCCCATCTTTGCGACTCGACAACTATATTGTGTCCAAGTCGTTACTACTACTTATAATGACCTATAACTATATTACGGCCTGAAGTTCAACACCCGTCGCGCTCACGAGTACACATGTAGGTACAATGTAGTGCATTGTGTGCATGATGCGCACGCAGGGTCGCTAACGACACTACAACGAACTATCATCCTAGAAGACTACCAAATTTTTCAATATTCCTTATAGATAATTTTCAGGAATATTTGCTAAAAATTCATTCGTTGTAGGAAGATGGTTATACATTTGCAGAAAGGTAACAATATATATGTGGCAACCCTATGACGCAAATCGTGCAAATGGGATCGAAATGTGAGCTCGGAATAGTTCTACTGTACACTTGAGCCATAGTGCACTGAAACAGGCTCAGGCTGCGGATGCGTCGATGTTAGCCTCAATATTACAACTAAGTTCCTATGGATAGATTGTGGTATATATACGACCATCGACATCCTACACTAACTTCCCTAATCCTAACTCTTACTCCGAGGCTAATGGCAGTGATGGTCAGCAGTTGTCGGGAGGGACATAAGTCAACCATGCCCAAGAATGTCTAACGAAATTATACCAGAAATCAAAAACCTGAACTAGTACCACTGAGTACTGAGAGCGGGGCGTCAAATCACCCGAGGCTTACAACTGTGACGAGTTGGGCGGTCGACAGCTATCTACCTAACCTACGCACCTATATCTAATATCATTTAGTGAACCGTGCCCGTGTCGGGTGTGACGAGTCCACTTGTTATGATATCTACTTTTTGTGAACATCGTTGATTCGTCGATCAAATTTACATTTTCTTCCTATCCTAATATTAATAGAGAAGGTTCAAGGTGAAGATTTGGAACTACTGAGTCGTATCTAGCGAACGACCTGACATCTAACGGGGGATGATAGAAAGCTTTGAGACCAGGATGAGTATCGTAGTCTCGAATGTACAGGGTATTTGACTGTCAAACACTGTCAACTCGTAATCTAGACTCTAGAGTGATACATGAGACTTGTCTTCGACGAAGCAAACCATTGCGCGAACTTGAATGCCACAAGGACACCCGAACGCCAAATACCCAGCTCGCAAGGATATAAAAACGTAAAAAGTCGCGCGAGACCAAAGTTCGCAACGCCGCTTCTTAACTGCAGATCCTATATAATCAAGACAGTTATTTCAAGCCGGCGTCCAAAGACGTAACGTTGGACGACGGTGAAAACGTTTCTACACCTCGAAACTGCCATATAGGTCTGACGACTGCTCAAAACTCAAAGGGCCTTATTAATAAACGGGGAGTTCTATTTGAAATACTGCTTGTTTCACACATTTGCGACCTGCCGTCCCTACAAAGAGGGGCGGTCGCCAGCACGGCACTTGACCCACATTACACCTATAACACTTGAGAGCACGTTTACCAATAAGGCAAAAACGCAAGATGGATGACAACGGGGATTCTACTGGTAGGTACCTATATTATATATTAAGCCTGTTTCAGTGATTGATCATAACACAATATTCCAAATCCGACATAAGATGGCGAATATCGTTCAATTAACGCCGGAAATGACATTAGTCTAAGGACATGGAAATCTGATTGATTTAAAAATGTTTCTCAAACGATGATGGGGACGATTCTGACGATGGTGGTGAAGATAATGATGATGATGATAAGCATGAAGATGGTGATGATTGTGTTGTGGATGACGTTGATGGTGTGGGCGTGGTTGCGTTGCGCTTGCGTGTGGTGCAGGTGGTAGTGAAGGTGCAAGTGGTGTAGGTGATGCAGGTGATGGTGATGGGGGTGATGCAGGTGGTGAAGGGAGACGTAGGCAACGTCGTGAACGAGTGGTGCAGGTTGCTCGCTAGAGACGCGACGATGGCGGTTACATATATATACGGACGACATAATTATCAAACTTGATTGAATACACCTTAATCTTAACAATTAATACGATATCAAAATTTTTACGGACTATGAATACACAATAACTTGAAAAAACAGTCTTCCAGGCGTTTTCGTTTTTTTTTGTTTTTTATCAAAAATTTGTAAATTGTAAATTTATTTTTTTTGTAAAAACCGATAGAGTACACGAATCTCAAAACAGTCTAAACACACGCCGGCAACTCCACTCGTCCTTGTGACAAAACACTTTACCAATTTATCTAATAACCAGCCAATTTTTGGTATCAATTACACTAATCGCAGTTAAATATAACCTCACAACTTTCAACTGTCCGATTTGAAATGTTAAATTACTAATACAATAAACAAATTTGAGTATATATTCTCATAAATAAGTTACATTTCTACTTGATACACGTGAGTCATGAAACGCTCCCTAGATGGCTAATTACATGCGGATGATGAGATGACCGAGACTACGTAAAGTCGTCTGAATGCCAATATCGATAACATCAATGAATGCTTACATTAAATATTATCTATAATTTATTCGAATAAGTGATTATCTACTCCTGTAAGTACCTTAACAATCGATTTACTTCTATCATTTAATTACCGAAATAAATGGACAAAGAAATATAATAATTATTTTATAATTGATAACTTTAAGAAGCGTTAAACATCAATACAATTCAATTTTGAAAACATCAACGAATGAGAAACATGCCCATGTACGTAATAGAACACGACATCAAGCGAAATTTAATAAATGTATATTATAATAAGCCGTCGGCCAAAATGACCTTATTCCCGTACTTTCGACTGTCTAAATATTACAATTTAAACGTCGAGATAGCTGACTTCATTTGATATAATTAGTCTAGGTCATTTCTCGCCTACGGCCTAAAGGAAAGCGCAATTTATAATAGAGACGGACTCGCGTCTCCAAATGATAATACGGGAAAGACAAATGGATTTACGCTTACAATATACAGATTGTAATAACGAGTCTGACTCCTAAATGTATCAACTTGTGTAAGTATGATAGTGGCATTGGCGTCCACTTTAAATTTACTTTTCCTTTTCTTTCTCCTTTTCCTTCTCCTTCTCCTTCTCTTCCGGCTCCTTTTCTAACTCTTTCTCCTTCTCGTCACCCTGCAAAAAGAATTGTAGTATAATATTCCACGATAAAACATTTTAAATCACTATAAGCAACTTAAGTTAATAAGTATTAAAGTTAAAAGAACAAACTAATAGAGTTTAGTTTGCCTAACTAACCTTTCCCTTTTCTGGCTCATCTGGTAAGGGTTGTTTCTCGTTGGGTCCCGTGCCCTCCTTTTCCTTCTCCTTCTTGGGGGGTGGTGCTTGCACTTCGGGGGCGCAGATCTCTTCCCAGTCGGGGAAGGCCCGCTCCTTGAGACGGGAGACCAGTCCCACCAGATTCGGGAATGATTCGTCTAGCGCATCACGTAACGCGTGTTGAACTTCTTTGTCGATGAAGTGTAGCTGGGCGAGATTCGCGAATGCAACCACGTCGAGCTGTTGAAACGATCCTATTATTCTCTTCCTCTCTCTATCTTATTATTTATATTTATTTATTATTATATTTTTATTTTATATATTATATCCTTTAGTCATCCTTAATCAAGGGGCTATCTAATGCAAAAATAATTTTTCAAATCGGTTTAGTAGTTCCTGAGATTAGCGCGATCAAACAAAGAAACTCTGCCTCTTTACAATATTAGTATAGATTTGTCAGAGGTAATAGGAGGAAAGGATATTACAATAGGACAGTACAATGCATGGTCTTTGAACTATGTACGAATCAAACTTTACTTTGTTGCTCCATTGTGCTGAAAGTGGTACAAATAAGTACATTTGTCCCTTTATACTGCGTAAGAAAGAACTCTGTACAATAGATACTTGACGGAGCAGATGATATGTTTGATATACTTAAATAAAAATCGAAAAAGATTTTATAAATTACTAACAGCTCACCCTCGCTTCGCTCGAGTTAGCATCTAGAAAAACTAAAACAAATCTATCCCACGGGAATCGTACAAATTTTCTTTATTATTCCAGACTATAGTCTATGTTTGTGCTAAATTTCATAGAGTTCTGTTCAGCCGCTCTGACGTGATTGAGTAACAAACACCCATCCAAACATCTAAACTTTTACATTTATAATATTTGTTACATTATTAATTTTGGAAATGAAAGAATGATTCCAGTAGGGAAACATAGATAAAAATCGACTCGGCAAAAGCTGGCTTTTACGTTAGCTTTCGTCTTCAAAAGTGAATAGATCGTTTATGGGCCAAGGTGTACATACTCATGTATAATAGAATTCCACAATCGATTTTGAGCTTGCTATTTAAACAATTTAAGTCTAAGATTAAAAATATATTAGTGAATAAAGCGAATTAAACCGTCACGGAATACTTCGTAGTGTCAATGTGTGAAACTAATGTCTGGTTGGATATCACGTAGGATAAGTGGATAATTATTGTATTACAATATTGTAAACAATTATTATTGTAAAAGAGCTACTGTTGAGTTTCTCGCAGATCTGCCTTTTCGAGCCGGTGGTAGATTCCTCACTGACTGACTACACTGATATTTAATTTAATTTAAATATAAAATGTAAAATTGAAAAAACTTGTAAAAGTCTATTTGAATAAAGTATATTTTGATTTGATTTGACTTAGTTTGAAGTTAAATATTAACTGCCACTTTCGCAACAATGAAACAAAATAATAATTTGTTTACTGTACATAAGTAAACCTGGGCTCGTTTGTAGACCTAGCTAAAACTTTATAGGGCAGAGGTGTCCTGGGTGGGTGAGTTCACAGGTCATGACCTAGGCCACCCCCGGATGGAGTGGGGGTGGAGGTGAACTATCAGAGATCAAGCCACCGCCTCCCTAACAACGCAAAATCGATTTTATATCAATGATATTGCAAAATATCGTTATTAATGTACCTATAAGCACTAGAATTGTTCTCACATAACTATCAGTGATTTCAGAATATTCTAGAGAATCCATGGGCTGAGTCAAAATCGTTAGGTGCCATTATTTATGAAAAATCCACTACGATATTACTAACAAGTGTAGGTAATGTGAATATTATTCTCTGGAATTCACCGCTACTATGTTTACCTAAATTATGGTTATAAAATTATGGCTACCTCGCTGCTTTTAATCATATACCTATATTTGCATTGTCGATGATAACGGTTATCGATATTTTTTAAACTTACAAATATAGTTACAAATATAAAGATGAAATTAACATGAATGCATAAGATTATATCTGCCAAAACGTGGACCAATAATAATGATACAAACAAATTTTAAATGTGTACATTAAAAAAACAGGATAGATTTGTCTATACATATAATAAAACTGTAAAGGTCGAATGTCTGTACATAGAAAGAAAATGCTAAAAACTGAGTCAGGGGGATGTAAGAAGAGAAATAGAACAAATCCAGTTTATTTTTTTCAATTTTTCTGTTTCTCTGTCTGTTTGTCTGTTTTTACGGGCTAATCACCGAAACTGTTGGACCGATTTAAATGAATTTTCGTATGGTGATACCTTATATCCCCGGTCAGCATTTAAAATATTTTTCATCCCTGAAAATTAAAGTGTTCCCGTGGAAAAGTTAAAAAACTATAGTAACTTATACAGCTTAGGACACAAAAACTACTGATTGGATTTTAATGAAACTTTACAATAATATAGTTCATACATCAGAATAACAAATAGGCTACTTTTTATCCTGGAAAAATGTACGGTTCCCGTGGGATAGATTTGTTTTTGTATGTCCAGAGCCGAACCCAAGCGAAGCGAGGGTGAGCCTCTAGTAATCAATATGTTACGTAACGCATAAACAGTGGCGTGGGAGAGCAACCGCGACTAGGCGGCACGCGAGGCATAGTCACTAGACTGTGCCTGGATCTATTTTTAACTTGATAAGGGAGATCGGTTATCGCACTCTACCCCCGGGCCACCCTGCCCGGCGTAATATTGCATCAATGAACGACATAATATAGAAAACAAAGACACGTCCTTGAAACTTCGCTAGCTGCTTAAACTTAATGAATTATGATGAATTACAAGAATATTTTTAATTACCCAATAATAATGACATTTTATATAGAAAAGAAATTTGCTGAAAAGGCAAAATTTAGACGTTTCAATCCCTTAAATGGAGCAAAAACTGGTTATTTATACTTACAAGTGTTGGCTCATCTCCGAAGAAGAAAGGTTTGTCGGAGAGTAGGTCAGAGAGCACGCGAAGATCGTTTTTACCGAACTCGATGATCTCCTCCTGACTGTGCACACCGATACCATGGGCTTTCGCTTTCTTCATACCCTGAAAACCGAATATATAATAAGTCACATCACCAAAATAATATTTATTAATCCTTCATATAATGCAATGGTCTACTCGAACATAATAATTAAATTAATTGAATTTACCTAAAATTGTTCGATGATATCGAGGTGATTTCTTATATGTCAATGCACTTAAAGCGCATTAATTTCATTAAAAGCTAATTATAACAGTTTACACAGGAACTACTGCAAGTACATTCCACTATCAGAGCTCACAATCAACTAGGTGAAGTTCAACAGGTGCCTGGATATTTAACTACTCCTGTCAGCAATATGGCGACTGCAGACGCCCCGGGAAGGGGGAAGATGCGTAGTGCACTAGTTGCGCTAAAGAGAACGTCGAACCTACGTGCAATGGGGTGGGGGGATGCACCTATAATGAAAATTCCTATCCTAGCCAGACTGGGCGATGAACTATGCCCACGCAAAATGGCGGATCTGATATAAAATGGCGGCATAGGAGCCATTTAGGAATATCACACTAGCTCTGTGTGTTATTTACTTATTACAATATTGATTTTATAATATAGTTGTTACATTTGCCATTAAATATAACTTAAGACACCAGACTTTAAAATCATCAACGATACTATTTTAAGACGAAGTAGAAAAAAACAGATGTCACTTAACAGCACGGCAAGGGTGTTGGTCAAGAAAACGATTACATAGTTTATACTTTTTGAAAAGAACATATATGTATACAGTTTCTAGGTTTTTGAATCCGTCAAAACTTTTTAAGCTCATGTTTGTTAACATGTTACCACCTTGTTAGGTGCATTATGAAACATCCCCTTTGTTGTGATTGTTTATACCATTGCCCGCAAAACGTAGGTGATGCGCTAAAGTGCTAACATATTTATAAGTAATATATGATCTGTGTTCGATCAAGCACAAAAACCAAGAAAAGCTGATAAACATTGAATTAAATTCCTTACCTTACGGCCAGAAGTGAATTTGTAGCAGAAGTTCAGGATGGGGCTGGGAAGGCGAGTGTTAAGCGCGTTCTGGAGGTTCACTTGATAGCCCTTGATCACACTGTCCGGATATTTAGCACGCCACCAGAGAATCACCCAAGAGAGATGGTTCTCAATCATAGAAACCATCGCATGTGTCACTACCCGTTGATCCGGCGTCAAGCCTGTAAAAGACGCATAGCCGAATACTTTAGACTTATTTAGTGCGATGCGTTAAAATGCACATGCGCGTCCATTCACACAGGTACCCTGTCTGTGGGTATCGCCCGGGCATTTCACCCACCTGGGCAACCTAGATTTAGCTATTGATTACACTCCCATTAATATGTATTGCACACTCTTCACGTAGTTTCAATTTAATTATTTAAAATTAAAAAGAATGCCATAACTTTTATGTAAAATATATATCTTATTTACTTTTTTTTTATATAACAAAATCTTACTCGTGTAAAAGCCTTCTTTGCTTTTATAAAGCAGAGAAACTAAAACACAAAGGCAAAAGTAGAAGTGCTTTTAAAAGCACTTTGTTATATAAAGCTTTCAACATTTAAATTACATTAAACGTCTTTTAAACATCAAAGTCTACATAAAAAAGTCCGAGAAACGAAGGTGTGCTATTAATTAAAGAACAGTTTTATATAAAAGTGCAATTAGAATAATTTAAGACTGAGAGCTCTTAAACCTTACAACAGAAACATGAAACTGTTTTATGATTTTTGTAACCACTAGATGGATTATACTCACCAGCGTCGAGATCCTTGTTGTATTTCTCTGAGAGCTCTTTGATGATGAAAGTGCTGTCGGCAATTTCTTCACCATTCAGTTCTACGAACGGAAGTTGTCCCTTTTTGGAGCGGAATTTCGCCTTATGGTCGACGTTCTAAAATAGAAAGTTTCTTTGTTATATACAAACCAAAAATAATGCAAGTAAATACACGTATTGTAAAAAAATTAGTACTAAAACAAATATTCTAGTAGTAGGCAAAATGATCTTATGTCGATTTTACAAAACTTAAACAAAAAAAATAACACGGTCAGACTCATTCGCCGTAGCTTTAATTGCGGTGCTTTTATTACGAATTCTAAAGCAAATGCTCTTTCCCACGATTGACACTGGTTAATTATAAGAAATACTACAGAAGACTTCTAATAAAAGGCTGACACAATTTCGCATGACTTTCTTTGCCGCAACATTTTTGCATTATCATAATCATCTGACAACAATAATTGAATTAACTTTATTCATAATAATTTTTAAAATTTCGCTTTTAGTCAAAATTGGTAGCATGTGCCAGTAAATTGTCATAAACACAATCAGATTATATTAATTAGATTCTACGTATAAAATGTGGTTTAGATTACTTTTAGTAAAAGATGCATCATTAGCGAAAAAACTCTTTCAGATATTTAGAGGTATTTTTATACCGAAAATCTTGTGACCGACGCAAAGTACATTTGACTATGTCCAAGAAGTTGAGTGGGATGCTATGCCTGAGTCATTTTGGAAGCCGCTATCATCATTTTATCTCTAAGTAGTAAGCTGCGACTATTTATAACAACCTAGCAACAGGCGAGAGTCCGGGCTGAGCATGCGCGCAGAGCTTGACCTGAGGAGATAGGTACATTGTATGGAAACAAAGCCTCCCGCAGAACATCAATCGATATAGAAAAAATTGCTAAAAATAATGCAGCTAACATTCGACATATATGAAATGTTATTAGAGATCTTATCAATTTTTTTATATATTTAGTACTAGCGACTCACCCTCACTACGCTAGGGTTCGTCCCTACTTACGTTTTAGGGTTTAGTATACATTTCTCAGAGATGAGATATTTTCCCACAGTAAAAAGTATCCTATATGTTGACCCGGATAACCAGCTATCATCATAATACCAAATTTCATCAAAATCTGTCCGGTGTTTTTCTCGTGATGCGTTCCCAGACAGACAGACGAAACTTCAAAACACTATATATTCAGCCTACAGAGGCTGAATTTTTTATTTTTACTTTTACTTTACATTATTATTGATACAGATCAATAATAATGACTATTTCAATAAGATTTTCCGAAAAATATTTAATGTACAGATTCGACTCAGCTAGAATTTTATTATATTATGTATCTACAGATTACATATATATCTCGTGCATGTCTCACACAACTATGTAGTAAGAATTACTTAACGTAAATTAATTACATATCTGTTGTATGTATCAGGTATTATAGTTAGTTACAAATAGGGTATTGAATTTAAAAATTTACTAATATTCCTGCCACAATAAAATAACAGCATCCATGACATCCAACAGGTGGTCAGAATGAGCAAATTAAGTGTTGAGAGTAGTTAGCTGGGGGATCGTGTAGGTTTGCTTGGGTACAGGATTGAGCGGTGCGGCTTGCTTGGCAAGCGGGGGCGTCGTCCCTGCATTGCCGTATATGGTCAAGACGAAATCTCGCTGTGATAGATTTATTTACATTATTTGCAACATAATTAATTTTCGCAAAAAAATATTGCAAATAAATGGTGATTTAGTGTAGTAATACAAAAGTTTTATTAAATTCTCACATCCGCAGGTAAACAGGAAACAAGTTTAACGGTCGTACAAAGCATTTGTGTTCGCCTACAGCTTGTATGTGTGCGCAGTTCTCTGCTCTCTAGTCTCGTAACCATGGTGACGAGCCCAAAATCTGGGCGGGGAGCCGGCAGCTGTATTGATTTCGAACAGAGTTCAGCGGCCGCATCGTCCGCCACCCGCCACCCGCCTCACCCCCTCACTCCTCACCCCACAGCTATCAAGCCCCCTTCCCGCCGCGCCATCCCTACAATTATTATCTAGAGCAACTATGTATACAAAAAAGTGATAAGTGAATTTACGGTTAGGATTGCCGATAATAGCCAAAACCGGATATACAATAGACCGTCTGGTGGGCGACCATACCAGCTAACAATATATAATTATATAGCCTATATTTTATTATTAATTGATTTGCTATTATGCGATTTCACACTTAAGATAAAATAAAATATAGGTATATTTGTTACTTTGTTATTGATGTTGATGATGTAGATCTAATCATAGAATATTCAATTACGGTATAATAAAAAAACAGTATGATAAAAATGTGTTATACTTATTATTTAAATTTTGTACTTTATATTACATTAAAAAAACGCAGTCGTATTAAACATTTACTTTTAGATATAAGTATTATACATAACTAACTATAACTGTCCGCAACTTCACTCACGTGTATCGGAAAAATAACCCAGATTTGATCTCACAGAACAAAAAGCTCATTTTCAATTTATTCATTAACTTTATAATAATTAAATCATTATAATTAAGCTAGACCACTAACTACTAAAATAAACTAGACTACTGCCCTTGACTGATCCTGGACAAATCGCCCTAATTCTAATTATTGATGATAATAATTTTACTTATGTTTATAGATATTAAGATTTTAAAAAATAATACGCATAACACTGACCTCATTAAAGCTATATTTTATACGGACTTATAAACTCAAAACCTGATGTATCTTTTTGCTTGTTTAGAAAAGTCGCTAAATGAGGTTTTCTATTAAAATCTCGTGTATACATAATATAATAAAATTCTAACCGAGTCGAATCTGTAAGTTCTTCGTTGAAAATCTTTTTTGAAAATCTTATTGAAATAGTCATTATTATCGATACACAGGTCTATAGTTTTTAGAATACCTATTTGTCTCTCTGTCTTTCTGTCTGGGAAAGCATCACGAGAAAACCACACAAGACAGATTTTGATGATGTGATGAAATTTGGTATGATGATAGCTGGTTATCCAAGTCAATATATAGGATACTTTTTATTGCGAGAAAACATCTCATGTCTGAGAAATCTATACTAAACGTTAAAACGTAATAGCGTAATAAAATCGTAATTTTTACACAAACATATGACAATGAAGTTATAGACTATTCTGCATTACCTAGTCACGCCAAGCATAAATAGTAAACAGTGAGCATGGTAACTTTAAAATCCGCGAGTCCACTCAGGGGATTTACATATATACCTCTTATAAAGCTTATAGATTTGAAGGAGCTCGGATGTGACAAAGATAAAACTTTGTTGACAAACGGCTTTATCTAACCGTAATAAGAATTATAAGTTAATCTATTTTTAGCTGAGCTAAAGCGAGGGCGATCTGAGAGCTTTAGTTTAAAAGACACGAAGGTGTGTGTTCCTAGTACGTTAATTGTATAATAAATGGGGTTTGAAAGTAGAAAAATAAGAAACCTTGTAATTTCTTTAGGGCAACGCAAATCGCAATATCTAAAGAATAAAATATATCCACTTGAAAAAACTTCAATTTTAATAAGAAACGTTATTCGAAACTTATCAGGCAATAATGGCTGGGATCACGGCATGACATTTTATGAGTTTTAATATCGTCCCACGTATGTCCTGTGATACCGGTTTTTGTAGGAAAGCTTGATTGTTTCTTTTTTTACCTGAGAAATGTTCCTTTTTGGGTTTCATCTATTGAATTAAGTAAGTGTTATTATTAAACTATTAAGTTGATTTGTCTTAAGTAAAAAATGAATCAATGGCTATGAGTGTATTAAGTATTTAATATAACTTTCGATAATTATCTAAATCTGCGAAAAATATTTTTTTGCAGATTTAATATACACTGCTGTTAAATCATATAAAATATTATATTATATAAAAAACATAAGTAATTCTGAAATATTTAAAGATCAGTGAAAGTCTAATTGGATTTACTGGTTCTACAAAATGTGTTTTTACTAAATTTAATGACCTATGAACATTCCGTTGAGAGTCACCAAACATCTAAATAAAAACTACAAACGTGCACACACAATACGTGTCGCTACATCTGTGATATATGGTTTTAGGTAGTTTAATTGTATACTATGCGTATTATATAACCAGATGTCAATATAATGCGTATAATAATAATAACAATGGATCAAAAATACACAATATTTAAAAATGTGTGAAAGTAGATTATTGTACTTTTATTTATGGTTCTAAATGTGTTGAGTACTTCACGCTCTAACGGCTCCATAAATATGAGAAATGCAGAATACAGATAGCTTAAGTCTTGGACTGGATCGACGTCGATGTGCCTACAATACATAGGTACTAGTAGAACAGCGGGCAAAAAATAAAATAATTGAGAAAACGGCGGTATAATATATTTGCTTAGTAATGGAATGTGGGTATTCTTTAGGGCAAACTGTTTGAAACCAAACAAATACATATGTATAATACTATCCTTCATTTATTATAGTTTAACAGAAATTTCATTTTTATGTAGAATAACTAAATATTAAATTTACAATACATTTTTATTTTTGGAGTTGTACTTGTTTCTGCACGTTTGGAAAAAATTATGAGAGTAAAATTTTTAGGATGTGCGCGCACACCGACAGCCAAAAAGCGACATGATGAAATTAGCTGAAAGCGACATGATGAAGTTAGCGTTCTGCGTCTGCGTTCACTTTACAAAGAGAGAGTTGAGACATATGATATAAAAATAGCTAGGGATGAAATCTTTAGCTATTTTTGTTTTGTTACGCCAAAGAAGTATAACTTCTTACATGCGTAGGTACATAAGTACAAACCTTCGTTCACCTTGTCGTGGTGGGGGGGGGGGGCTCAGTAGTGCCCGGCAATACAGCCGGGCGCGAAGCCAAGAAACGCACAGGGAGGTGGCCCACTTCGGTGGGAGGTGGCCCTATTCGGAGGGCGATGTACCATGCGGGTTGCTCCTGGTACTTCTCTGATAGCAGAGTGAACCTTGGAGCAACCCCATGGTAGTTGTGGTCTGCTTCGGCAGACCTGCCGTTGCCGTTGCCCATTAAGAC